TGGAATTAATTTTGATCCTGGAGGTGAAAAGAATTTCATCTGGCGAACCACTAATGCCTTTCTAATCGTGCATTTAAATCACAATATTTTTTTTTACTTGAGGGGAAAAGAACTGAATTCTTTTAGTTGTCTGAGTTTAGATAAGACAAAAGAGCACAAAATTAATTAGTTTATCTGTAAAGGAGGTCATTAGAAATTCCATTCATTTATGAATAAAAGTTTAAAGTTACATTCTGTGAAAAGAATTGCTTGGTTGACACATGCAAATGCAAGTATTAAAAGAGATCTCAAGATCTCAAAGATCTTCAAATATAATTACCTTATTAAAGCTTCACTTTCATGCTCCGTTTCCCTCATATGATATTCATATTTACCACGAACTGTCACAACCTTAATTGAAGCAGAGGCGAAACTCCTTAGCTCGCCCGACACGTGTATATTTCATTTTACTAGTCATTTCCAAAAAAGGAGCAGTTAAACTGTAGCGTTGTCTAGAAGCTGAGGAAAAGAGAGAAAATTCAAATAAAATGAAACACTTCAGAAGCTAATTTCATTGGTAGGTGATAGGAAAGGAAGAGTCGAGTCGGAAAATGCTTTGCATGCCACCAATTTGGAAATGGTAAATAATTTATGAATACATAATTAGTGGAAGCTGAGCAAGTGAATAAGTAGAATAAAGCTGACTATGAGGCAATTAATGGGGAATTCAAAACGAAAGTTTTCCTAATTCTAATTACTGGATGATAATCAAAATAAGGCTTATAGCTAGATATTTAAGGATATTACATGTAAGTACACTTAGTTGTAATGGAGCATTACGGACCATAAATATATTTGAGCCACAGATCCAAAACTCAACATTAGAGAGTTTTTTTAAGAAGTAATCAAATAATTATAATTTCAGCTGCTCTCATTAAACACGCATGGAAATAACGATTAATGCAGTAATTAAAAGGTCTGGTGTTCTGACACAGAAAAATATGACTACTTCTATTTAATTCTACGATTTGCATACCAAGTTGCCTTTGAGGCATATTTTATGGCTGTACCAACAGTTGTCAATTTTATTGAGTGGAGCATCAGTGTTTAAAGAAGCTATTATTACAACAGCAATCTCTTGAGAGGAGTCATGATTGTTCATGTAATCGATACATACACTCAGACCTGCCCAAGTACACAAGTGATCCAAAAAATCACTTGATCAAGAGAAGAGCCACGACCGCAAGTGAAGTAGTTTTGTCCATTTGAAGGCATTTACCATCCAGCATGCAGCTTGATTTGTCAACAAATATCATTTGGAGAGAACTAGTAGAAGTTGGGAACAGGTCTGAAGCAATTTTGTCTGAATTGATGCCAAAATTGGTCACCTTGAAACCGTCCGAGTGCCATTTGGAAGTACAGCTAAATTTTTATGGGTGCATGTAAATATAAGAAACACAGTTTATTAAAGAAAATAACGTTTAATCCAACTTGCGTAAAAACTCCGAATGTGATATCAATTGTATGTTTAGATGTATATAAACATTAGTTTTACTTTATTTTACTATATTTAACCCATGGGCTATTGGAAATGCCAAGGCAACAAAGATAAGCGTAATATTCGTAAACTTGCAATACTAGTTTCGGAGGTTTTAAGATGGAACCTTCTTCAGCTGCAGAAATGTAAATGACAGTGGGGCCATTTATTGATGAAAAAATGAAAACAGCTATCAGATAATTTTCTTAAAAGGTGAGGGTAAACACGAATTGGAATTGAGAAAGAATTTATGAATGTGAAACGTCTTTAGAGAATTTAGTTTGTGAACGGAAGATGCTGAAAAATGGAAAATGTGATTTTCTGACCAACAGTATTGGGCAAGAGAGAGTTTATATGTTTCTTTTCCCTCCTGATCCTCAGTGAAAACTTTTAAGACCTTTTAATAATGTAAATTAAACCGCATTGGCAAGTAATTCTGTATATATCCAGAAATATTCATATCCGAAAATATTTGTCTGAAGCAAGCACATTTTGTTCTTAAAAATAAATATTACAGTTAGACTAAGAAATTAGTCATGGGCAGCTCTTTTAGGCCTATCTTTGCTGCGGCAACGTTGACGATACCTTTACTCTGTTTGACAGTAATAAAACATGATTTAAATAAAGTTCTTTCAATAATGAATTCAGCTGATCTTGCTATTCAGTTCACTTTTCAGCTTGAGATATGGAATTTCTTTCCGTTCCTCGACATTTTGTTCATACGCAACATATCCGACTTCAGCAGTACTGTATGCCGTACATTTTCATCTGTTAGCCTTTAATTAATGGCACTGGACTAAATAAAAGTTAGTTTTATTTCATTCCTTCGTTTTCCAAACATCCGATGTTTGCTCTTGACCAAGAACTAAACTATATACAAGTAGCGCAGTTTTCTTTTCCATAAACAATCCTTACACAAAGACCCTCATTCCGAATGTAGAATCCTGGGGTCTATATAGGATTCCAGAATTCCTTATCAGTGTGGTTTAATTTACATTGGTCAAACTAAGACAGCCTTAAGATTTCGCACTAAAGAATATGAGGCATATGACACGAAACAATAAATCCTCTGTTACTCAGTACTGCTGATCAGAAAATTTCCAATTTTATCAGTTAACGCTAATGAAACAAGACATCCATTGGCAAACTAAATTTTCTAGATGCGTTTCACATTCATAAATATCTTTCAGTTCCAGTTAACTATTCCAATCCCTCTTTATCCTTAGCATTTAGGTAAATTATTTAATAGCAGTTTTATTTTCCATTAATAGATGGCGCCAGTAGCTTGAGTTCTTTTTGTTTGTTATCTCCTGGGCGTAGGCTTCTCTTTCGTCATTTGTACTTCTGCAGCTGAAGAAGTGGATTCTATGCTTAAACCTTAGAAACCAGTTCTACAAATTTACGAATATTATGCTAATTCTTACTTAGTATTAATTACTTCTAATAAGCGTAACTCCGCGTCCTATTTTAAAGCAAAATATGGGCTATTGTTTTAGGACCTTTAAAAGTCTTAAAGGAGAAAAAAATGTCTTTCAGGGATTTTTGTGTATTGTTATTTTCTTCCTTTTTTTTGCTTCGTTCTTAAAAATTGAAAATTGAGATATTTATTTTATTTCAATATCTCCTAAAGATATTCTACGATTCAATTTCCTTTCCAGATTTTTCGTTTTATAGTAATTATTGCATTAGTCTGAAAACTGAGTGTCATAACTCCGCGGGCCTAAATATAAAGGATATTTTAAATAGATATTTTTTTTATTAAAAATTAAAATGCCTGTTTGAAAATCAGACTATTCAAGTATGCTCAGCCTAATATATGAAAAATACTTGAATAAGCAATTTATAATACTTTGCAATGCTTAAGGTTTACGCTGGAAAAACACGTATTTATTTTGATTTGCTTCAAGACGCATATCCAGGATGCTTAATTATTTTCCTGGCAGAACAATTTGCCATAAGAAGCTTCTGTGTGTGAGATCTTTTTTTCACAGGAAATATTTTTTTTTTCTTTCTAAAACATCTTAAAAAAATATTATATGCTTCAGTACGGAGTCATGCTACTAAACATAGTAATATTTTCTAGCGTTAACACGCTTATATATTTTATCAATTATTTTGCTCTCTTTATTATTCCATATTCTATTTACATTTTTGATTATTTATCAATTGTTTAATTCTTTAACTTTATTATTAAACTAGCGGGATGCAGCCAAAATAAAATTTATAAGTTCTATATACCTCTGAAAAGCAAATGTATATAAACATTTCAATGTGAATGGAACCATTTCATATTTTTCAAGCAACAACCAACGCGCAAATGTTTTTTTTTATAGACAAATCAGGAAACAAAAACTATTGTCACTTCAGGTTAATACGTATCACGTCATGATTTAAGTTTAATGTAGTTGTGCGATGTAGTGAGCGTTGTTTAGCGTAGTAAAAATGAGATGTTTAGTGTAGAGTAAGAAATGAGATGCGTAATTAACAATATAATTTAATCATTTATTCTTAGCAAGAACAGAGACAGCGTTAATTCAGCGATGCATGCAGCGTTAGCGTTCTACTGCGTAGAAGAATCATGTATCTCAGTTGCTAATTGTCAGAGACTAAACTTTACATTATTTCTTGTTGCCAGATGTAACAGATTAACATAATAACTGCACAATAACAAAAATGCGACGGGAAAGTGCTCCGTTGACCAAACGATAAAGTTACAAGTACGGAACATCCCGCCCGGCGTTGAAATGTTACATTATTTTAAATTTAAAGGAAAAAATATGAATACAAACATATAATGACACAACATACAACAAATAAACTAACTAATAATTCAATTAAAGAAAAAAATTATCCAACACTAGAAATATCGTTGTCTATAATAGGTAAAATACAAATTTTCGAAATTGGTCTTCTGAAAACACCCTTTGGAGTGCGTACGTCTACGACTCTGACATTTCCGTCAGGACCTGGTATCACCTTAATAATTCTACCTAAAGACCAATTGCAAATGGGAAGTTGAGAGTCTTTTAGTAAAATGAGCATATTTGGCTTTTTAAGCACCCACTTAGAGCGTTGTTGCAGATGGCTTAGATAGCTGTTTTGCATTTCCAAATGTTCTGAACTAATTTTTGTGTTCTCTGCCACCTACTTAGAAGATTATCTCCTTTATCAATTAAGTTTGGTTCTGGTATGGCATTTATCGGTTTTCCTATTAGAAAATGTCCAGGAGTTAATGCTTGAAAATCATTTGTATCAGTAGATAAGGGTGAGAGTGGTCGCGAATTGAGAATGCCCTCGATTTGAACTATTACTGTTATAAATTCTTCTAAATTTAACTTAGCGGAGCCTACGACTCTCTTCAGATGGTACTTGAACACCCGCCTCCCAAAGGCCGCCAAAATTGGGTGCTCTAGGAGGCAAAAATTTCCCCCTGATACCTTCTGAGGCTAACAGGCTCGAAATGTCCTCACTGTTTAACATTAATTTATGTAAACGTTCTCTTTAACTCTGTGGAAGCTCCAGTGAAGTTCGTTGCGTTATCGCTAAAAATTATTGAACTCTTGCCGCGTCGTGCAAAAAATCTCTTTAAAGCAGCGATTAGAGCTGCTGAAGTAAGATCTGACACAAATTCCATGTGAATAGCTTTAGTCGCCATACATACAAATATAGCTACATAGAATTTTTGAAAAGTACCCTTTCTCTGCCCTTTGTATTTAATTTCAAAGGGTCCACATAAATCTATTCCTACATTTAAAAATGGGGAACTAGGCGTTACTCGTTCTGAGGGAAGATCTCCCATAATCTGGGTTGCAGCAATTGGTTTATTCTTAAAGCATTCTACACACTCATGGACGACTTTTCGTGCTGTACTTCTGCCACCAAGTGGCCAATATTTAAAACGAACAGTATTTAGTAGGGCTTGAGGGCCTACGTGAAAATCTCGTTTGTGATAGTATTGAAATATTAGAGTTACTAATTTATTTCCAGCTGGCAGAATAACCGGATGTTTACGATTGAAATTTAAATCTGAATGTGAAAGTCTACCACCAACTCTTATTAATTCGCTTGATGGATCTAAAAAAGGATTCAAAAATTTAAGCTTACTCGTAGGTGGAACTGAAGATCCCCTTTCTAAAGCTGATATCTCCGCAGGAAAATACTTTACCTGTAAATGTTTTATCAAATAATTTTCTGCTCTTTCATATTCTTCGGACGTGAGCTCTCCTGTATGCGTTTTTGGAGATTTACACCTTCTGCAAAATCTAAAAATAAAAGCTAAAATTCTAATTAGTTTATGAAAGTTGTTACTAATATTAAGTAAGTTATCGAAAAAAAGAGTCATTATTTAAACTTAATGTCACTTTAGAAACAATCTTGAGTTCATCATCTATAAAGTTTGTCAGTTGAACTAATGGGAGTTTGCAAAGTCTGAGGAATAGGTAAATTTAATTTTGAAATATCTGGTCCTTTCCACCAAAGTTCACAAGCGGCAAGTGCTTTAACTTCCAGTCCTCTGGAGATCATGTCTGCTGGGTTGAACTCTGAAGGTATATGATGCCATTAGAAGTCTTTAGATATCTGCTGGATTTGTGATACTCGGTTGCCTACAAACGTCTTAAGCAGATTTGAAGGAGTCTTGATCCATGCTAGTGCTATTGTAGAGTACAATTTCACAGTCTTATTTGAAGTTTAACAGCTATTAGGACCTTTTCCGTTAGTTTTGCGAGAAGAAGGCAGAAGAAGGCATGCACAAAGCTCCAGACTTGGAATTGTAATGCATTTTGTAGGAGCAACACGTGATTTGCTGCAGGGAAGTGTACTGTTTACTTCACCGATGCTAGACACAGTTTGGATGTATATCACTGCAGCGTAAGCCTTTGAAGATGCGTCTGAGAAACCTTGGAGTACTACCAAATTGGTATCGGTTTTTAAAAAAACATCTTGGTACATGAATGTGTTCCAGATGTGGTAGTGTTTTAATGAAGTTTTCCCACTGTTCGGCAACAAGTGGAGGTAGTGTTTCATTCCAGTCTAGCTTAAGCAACCATAACTGTTGCATAAAGAATTTTGCTTTAACAATAACAGGACCCAAGAGTCCGAGTGGATCATAGATGCGTGCTATTTGAGATAGTACATCTCTTTTGGTGAAATTAGAATTTGCGCTTATGCTTACTTTATATGTAAAGGAATCGCTTAAACTATTCCAAAACATTCCTAGCGTTTTAACTATTATTTCTTCAGAATTTCGATCAAGCGTGAACTCCTGCAGTTCGGTAGTTGGTGCCTTGTTACTGCACCACTTTGTGCATTGTAAGTTCTGGAAAGTCATTCCTCCCCTTTGGAGAAGCTGCTTAAACTCTGACATAAGTTTTTCTAACTCGTTGAAGTCTGAAGAACCGGAAAGGCAATCGTCCATATAGAAATCATGAAGGACTGCTCTTGAAGCTGAAGGAAAGTCTTTTCCCTCATCTAAGGCAAGTTGTTGTAAAACTTTAGTGGCTAAGAATGGGGCAGACGCGGTCCCATACGTTACAGTTCGTAACTGGTAGACTTTAACCGGCGCGAATTTACTATCTTTCCATAAGATATTTTGAAGCTTAGTTTGCGAAGGATTAATTTCAATCATTCTGAACATCTGTTTGATGTCAGCAGTAAAGGCGAAAATGTGTTTTCTAAATCTAATTAGAATCGAGAAGAGGTCTTCTTGAAGCACTCCTCCTTTGCACAATAAATCATTTAAGGAATGCCCGCTAGACGTTTTCGAACTCGCGTTAAAGACCACGCGTAGTTTAGTTGTTTTGTTGGTGGTACGCAGTACGCCGTGGTGTGGTAGATAATACCCGTCATCTATAAGTATATCTTCTTTCACCTCCTCCATATGATGCAAATTTTCATATTCATTAAGAAATTCTACGTAAAGTGTTTTCAAAGTAGGATCCTGTTCCAAGCGTGTCCACAAGTGATCTAGTCTTTTCAATGCGATTTCTTTAGAATTTCCTAACATTGTTTCCGAAGATTCTGGCTTGAGTGGCATTTTAACCACATATCTATCGTCTGGTTTCCTATAATGTGTTTTAGCGAAGTGTTCATTGCAATAATTTAATTAATCATTAAAAGTTTTGCGTGGTTCTACTTCTTCGAATTCACAGAAGCTTCTGAGGGTTTTATTGAGATTTTCTAAATTTTTAGACAAGAAACAGTGTTTTAGTGTATAACACAAATTATTGTCTGAAATACTACTCGAAACAAGGTATCCAAAACAGCTTGATTGCAAGAACAAATTGTCTCCCAATTTTATTTTATCATCTCCCAAAACTGAGAAGAATAATTCAGCACTCAAAAGAACATCGACCTTTTGAGGAACGAAAATTAATGGGTCAGCAAGTTTTATTTTCCTTGGAATGTTAAAAATTCGAAACATTAATTCTTTTGGGGGGTGTGAAATTAGTTATGTTAGGCACAATTAATAAGTCAATTTCCCAGTGTGAATCATTACTTTCATTCGATAGGTAAGCTGAAACCTTTTTTTTGTAATATTTAGCGATGTGTCATTTAATCCACTTATCGGAATGTTTATTTTTCTTTCTTCAAACCCAGCGCTTCCGCTGCTCTTGTTGTTCATAAATGAGCTTTCAGAGGCCGAAATCTAGAATAGCCCTCAATGGGTTGTTTTCACCAGCTGCATCTTTGACATAAATTATTACAGTATTTATCAAAATACTTTTACTATTTCCGTTTGAGAAGAAAGAAATACGAGCATTTTCTGGCGAATGCGAATCCATTGACCTTGACGCGTTTATGTTTTGTTTATTTGGTTCCTGAAGCTCTGTCGCCCCCGTGATGTCTGGACCTGTCAGCGGCGACGAATATGCATGCAACAATGATGATCGGATTTTTTCTTACAAATATAACAAACACTATTCGATTTACACTGAGATAATAAATGAAATTCGATCAGACAATTATAGCAAAGACGATGTTTTTTCACCAAACTCACGCAGTGATACAATGCATGAGATTGAGATTTACAAGCGATACACAATTTAGGCGATTTATTAGATTTAACCAAAAGAGGCTTGGATCGTTCCGAATTAAATTTAGACTAATTTAGAATTAAATTTTTGGTTAACAAATTCTACGATTTGAAAGCAATACTTTTTGAAATAAAGCATTTTTATCTCCATCTCGCAAGACTGGTGCCACTAAGAAAAATGATGCGAAATTAGCGTCTTCAGAGCGTTTAATGTATATATCGGCTGAATAAAGTTGTACGAAGATGAGAATGATCAAATGGCTTCCCACGAATTTTTTGAATATATTTAATGTTTGCAATGCTATTTTTATTTCATATTTTGTAAAACGTAAAAATTTTTATTAAGAAAGTATATGATTTGAAAGCGAGCAATAGCAACACTTAAATAAAGCAGGTTTTTATCTCCAGCGTGCAAGACTGTTGCCACTCGAAAAAATGAGTTTAAAAATTAGAGTTTTCAGAAGTTTTAATTAATGTCTCCGCTAATTAAAATCGTACGAAGATTGGAATGGTCGAAATGTGTTTTCACGAATTTTGGAATCCGGGGGTACCTATCTCGAAACTCAACTCCCCGGCGTTCTGGAAGAGATAATGACAAACAAACAAACGGACGGACGCGCACAGATTTTAATAGTAGAGACAATTTAAACTACGTTTCATGTGTATTGTTATCAGTGTTATTTTCTTACTTTCTCGAAGGTAGAATACATTTGTGACTATAATTGTTTTATGTTTTACTTGCTAGCTTGTATTGTATTGCATCATTCATAATCTAATTTCATTTTATATTTACTCATGTCAAAACTAGATCTTTTTCGGACTAGGAATTTGTTTACTAATTTTTACTCTTTTTTAATAAGAGAAATTTATTCAAAAATTTTCTTTTGTCGTAATTTATCTGCCGGAAAGTTTGCTTTTATTATTTGTTTCCGGATGTATATCAAACATGCTTTTTTGTTCTATTGTATTCTTTATAAATGTTATTTATTGGCTTTTTTCAGCCACCGTTTTGTGTTTTCAAACGTTTAATTTTTTAACTATGCTACAGAATAATTTCTTTTAAGATGAAAGTAATTAAAATGATGTTCCCGGGCATCAAGACTACTGTTTCGCATCTCTGTGACGCTTTATTTTTAAACACTGGAAATATATTTTTATTATTTCTATTATTAACATTACGTTTTATCATCATTGAAAGAAATGTTTTTAGTATATGCTTTGTTACTACAATATGTCTGTTTATATTCTCCCCAAAAAAATATTTAAATACTAGATGTAGCTTAATAATTTTTTAATAACTCATAATTATTACAGAACATAATCTGTTTTCATTTTCATAATATTTGAACGAGTTATTATAACAACAGAAGATTTTTCTGCAAAGTAAAATTTCAAAACATCATAGGAGCCACTTTATAAGATATTCTAATCTGAAAACTGTACTACTTCTAAGTTTTGAATGCGAAATAAAGGTGGAGCATTTAAAACACTTGTAGGGTTTATATTTATTTTAACTAACATTTATTTAGTCTTCGAGTGGCGGTCAAGTTCCAAAATCGCAGAATAGCGGAAAAAGCTAGAGAGGGGCATCGTATTCTCAAAGTCCCGAAGGCAATCTTCAAATGAGCAACCAGAAATGGAAATCGCTCTTATTGGGGGAAAGAGCTATCAAGCTAACTCATCGAAACTCGAAGGTCAAGGCCCAAAAAGAAAATTTGAAAACAACCGTCCGCGTACCCAGAAGGCAGATGTTGAAAGAAAAGCTTTAAACGAGTAGAGGGGCCTGTGAAAGCGAGGGTCCAGATCCCGGAAGTTTTAAAAAAACCCTCAAATAGACATTTAAATACGGTCATCGTAAAAAACTCACAGCTACGAATTATACAAGTCCTGGTTGGCGATGTACCAGTAGAAGCCCTCATCGATACAGGAACAGAAGGAAATTTTATGAGTGAAATTTTTTTTAAAAGAATTTTTATAGGTTACGATTATTTAAAAAATAAAAACACGGAAATTATAGCGGCGCAAGGAAAAACATGTCACTGCATCGGAAATTATCATTAAAATACAGGTTAAAAGAGGAAAGCCTCAAAGTATTAATTTTTGTAGTGAAAAATCTGCAAACTCCTCTTATTTTAGGTATGGAGTTTTTAAAAGGGCCGCGAGAAGGCCAAATTGAATTTTCAAGGAAAGTTCTATGGTGCTGGAGATGGACCAGAGGGTGGTGGAACCAGTGGAGACAACCGCAAGTGGACCTTAGCCATTTGAATGACCATGAAAGTCAAGCCATCCAGCAAGTGGTGAGTAATTTT